TGTGTGCTAGTGAAATTTTAATGAAGTATCTGCCCTCTGCACTTCAGATTATCCTAATAATTTCCTCCAAATTTGTGTGCAGGACTGCACCCATTTCCGAACGTAGTCTACATCCAGTTGCATTTTGAGAAAGTCTCCCAATTGAATTCTGCTTAAAAATGTGAAACATGTGTGCCACAGACATCTGTAGGTTACATTTTGGTTAAGTTTACATACTTAGTGCAACATGGATCTTACTTTGACTTAAAAGCAGGTTGTTGACTTTCATATAGGTTCGAACTTTTGCTTCTTTATGTACCTGACTGTCATTCAGTACCAAGTTTTCGTGGTGATATTATGTGGTCAGCTGTTTTTGCAGTGATGCGCTTGAATATTTGTCCCCACGGTATTTGGCGATTTATTTCCAGGATCAATTTTGGCTTGTAAGGACATGCAATTTGGCAATGGAGAACGGTGAAATGGGTTATTGATTGCGTCCGATCTGTGATATTGACATTGTGTGGTTTCGATACTTCATTTGTTTTTCCCCGTGATCGTACGGCGAATTGTGAAATTTCCATTGACGGTGGGATATTTCACCGAGATGTTTTCATCGGCACTAGAGGTTACGGCTATCCAGTCACTCGTCAAATGTATCGCACGTCTGCTGTGCAAACTTGGCGGCATATTTTTTTGGTATGCAACCTGAAAATGATTGAAGGAAAGAAAATGAAATCAAGGGCCTAAACGTGGTTTTGTGCTCACTAGACAGAGTGACGTTCAGTACTTATGCGGTAGTATCCTATATTCTTATTTTTGCTTATTCAAAATACAATTAAATCCTTTCAAACACATCCACAACTCCACTTCTTGACCCCTCAAAATTGGTTAACAAAAATTCTCCCATTATTTTTCAAGTTTTTCAAACCTAAAAACCATAAATTTATCATTGTATTTTCGTCCATCACAAACTTAGGCCTATTTGAGCATCGCCAGTGTGGCTTTTAACATTATAAAAATTATTCATATTATCAATTTTTGAAAGTATGTTACTAATTTATTCTCTAATAGTATATCCAATGGTACATGAATTACTTTATTCCATGCCACGTAGCTTTAAAATTCCAATGTTGTATTTAAAAAATGTAAAAAAATTTCTAGATGTAGAAAGACTTTTAAATATTTCCTATCTTATACTACCTCCTGTTCATTATAAATGTCGTTTTGACTAATGTCTAGATACATAACAAAATGGATGAATCACAAAAGTCCAAACGACATTTATAATTAATAGGAGGGAGTATTATATTAATTATTTTATCTTTCTCTTTCCACCAACCAATTATTATCTTACATGTGTGAAATTATTTTACAACTGACATTAACTGTTGGAGAGAAAATATTTTTATTCCGTTTTTTCACACCATTCATCTCAAAATAGACATTAAACCAATGAAGATGCTCTAATGCATCTTGTCATGAACTCTTTCATGATGAGGTGTATGACATTTAATGTTGACAATGTTGAGCTCACCTTTCAATATCTAAAAGCATGTCTATTTAACTCTCACTAGTATTTGATCATGTGCATTTGCACAGAAATAAAACAACATTTTAGTTTGTATTTATTAATTAGACATGTATTTGTATCATATAAACATTATTAATTTTTCTTGAGTTATTTTTATTATTCAAAATTAATTGAGATTTAAATTTTATTTTAACCGTGTAACGTTTACATTAGTAACATAAATAAAGTAATTTATATTTTTGTGGCATACATTAAGAAAATTAAAATAAATAAATAAAATTATTGGTGTTTCTGATTTTTAGAAATAAAAAAATATGTGCAAATCATATTTTTCTTCCAACAATGCAACCAAATATAGCGGTTACAACTCTGAATGTGCCAATCAACTTTAAGTTCCAACATTAACTTTACACATTTGAATATTTTGCTACCAAATTTATAATTAATTTAGTAACTGATCCAAAAAATAAATAATAAAAATATATAAATTAAGGTGTAACGGTTTAGCATATTATTGAGTTATTAATTAAAAAAATGTAACTCCTTTTGGAGAGAATGAAAATAGATTTTATTAAATGTTTAATTAAATGTTTTAGCTAGTAATTATATAGATATACATTTAAATGTATGCAAGAGACATTAACACCAATGTAGCCATTCATTTGATTGACAAAAATGGTGGGACCCAAGTATTCCATTTAATACATTGAATCTATATCTATATATATAATAAAACCTCATAAATAAAACCTATTTAATTTTACCTAGCTGTCACTAATCTCTTTTCCCTCCAATTTTGGTTACTTATCTATTAATTCTCCTATATTAATTAGCTTAATGATATAAATCCTACATTTAATTGCTTTCCAAAATCAAATGAGATATTTTTTTTTTTAAATCCGATTTCATATTTTTTTACTGGGCACATTATGTGAAGTTAATTATAATTTTTACGGAAAAAAAGAAATACATAAATAATTTAAAATACACAAAAAAAATTACATATATCATTTCTGGTCTAAAATGCAGTAAATAAAATTAAAAATTGAATAATTCCTGCAATATAGAAAAAGAAAAAAAATTAATGATATCACATAAAATCATGCAATATATGTAAAATATAATTCTGAAGTTAAAGCAATTAATTAAAATCAGGAGGAAAATTTGAAAAATAAAATTTCAAAAATACAATTATAAATAAAGGCAGATTCTCGGGGATAAATTAATTATGAATTTGATGACATTACATAAAGTTGACCAAGGTACAGTAATTTTTAGGATAAATTATGGAGATACACAAGTTTTTGTATCTCATGAAATTTTTTTAATTAAATGATATTTATAACCAAATTAATCATTTATTTGATGCAAATAAATTATTTTGACTATCACAATTAATTTTTTGCTGAAATTAAGGACATTGACACGTTTTGTTGCCTTATAAATACTAAAATATTTTTCAAATTCTAATCACTTTCATAAAGCAACTATCTACCTCATTTCGATTTTTAATCACAAAAAATTCTTCTTAAAAAATGTCTTCCTACTTTGATAATCTCACATACCTTGCCAAGAACAAAAACAAAACAACAATTTTGAGATTGGTTAGGTTTTATCCCAAAAAACAGAGTCGACCTTGGAATTTGTGTTTCATGATATCAAGGTAGACATTGTGTTTTTTAGTTATTAATTAATTATTTGACATATTCAGTATTTTACTTTTTTTTTATACACCAATACGCAATTTTTAATTTTATTTTTCAGGGCGAGCGAATCCATGCTTCCGCACCCGACATCTTAGTTGAAAATTTCAGCCCGTTGATCAATGGCGAAGGGAATACATTTGGGATAAGGAATTTCATATTGGAAACCGACCACAACATTTTCAGAACTACCACAAAAAATGAACAGCTTTTGTTCAATGAGGAAACTGAAATTAAGGAGATTTTTTATGAAGACTACTCCCAAAGTTCATGTTCAATTTCAAGGACTTCGGAGACCTGGCGGATCCATCTCTAATCGACTCCTCACAGCTAATTGGTAACATTAATACAGTTTATAACTTTTTATTTAGAGTTCTCTTAACCAAAACTATTTATAATTGTACTTTTATATTGATTCTAGATATCATTGGTCGAGTTGTGTTATTTCAAAGCGTACAAAAGGCTATGTCGAGAGGGGTAGAAAAGAGATTTATTGATATTCTTCTCGAAGATGTTCGGTAAGTGTAAATTACCGAATATTAATATTAATCTTCACTCTCTAAATATTATAAAATCATTATGTAATATTTCTATTTTTTTTATTATGTTAGCGGTTGCCAATTACTTTGCACATTATGGAAGGACTATGTGGATGTTCTACTTGAGGCAATGAAGAACTCCACTGCAGAAGAGGAAAAAGTTATAATACTTCAAATGTGCCGAGCGAAATCCATGCATGACGGTATATTTTTTTAAATTAATTTAAATACGATATAATTTATTTTTTTTAACATCTTTAACTTAATATTATTGAATAATTTTAGAGGGTCTGTGAGAATTGCCAATGCCTACGATGCAACCAAAATGATTGCTAAATTTGATGTACCGGAAATTATTGAGTTCAAAAAGAGGTGAATGTTCAAAAATTTGTTAAAGACAGATTGTTTAGTACAAATATATGTGTTTTATCTCATTTTTTTTAACTTAGGTACAAGTGCCACAAACGCTCAAATGAAGGACCTAGCCAATATTAGGTCTTTCATGTCGAGCGTACGCGATGACTTGCAATCGGGATCGGCCCCAATTGGAACTATTGTGGAATTTCATGCTTTGAATGAGGCAATTGTCTTCAATACGATTGATTTTTATTAAATACACATTAATACTTTTTTCCTTTGTTCATATTTGTTCTAATTTTATTTTTTTTCAGCCGAATATGTCTTGGATCAATGGGACGATCCTTGATGTTGATCTAAGGTGGTATTTTAATGCATGCCCGACCTGCGTTAGGAAGGTCGAACCGCAAGGGGCGAAATTTTGGTGCTTCCATTGCAAAGAGGAAGTACCATTTGCTAACACGCGGTATTCATAGATTATTTAAGTATAATATTACATATTATTATACTCTATTTTTTTTTTTTAATAAATTTTTCAAAATTTTAGGTACAAATTGCACATGTTGATTATTGACGACACGGGAATTATGCAAGTTCTTTGCTGGGACAAAGTTGCAAATGAACTCATTGGAAAAACATGTGAAGAAGTTGTTCAAAATATGTTGAAGGTTTGAATAATAATATACTATAAATAAATTAATATTATTTTATAGTTAAAGAGATGTTTAATATTTAATATTATTTCAGTATGAAGATGGGTCTGATTTGCCCCTTGAGCTGTCGACTTTGATGGACAAAGCCCTTTTTTTCAAAGTTGGAAAGAAAAAGGACCAATTAAGGCCTTACAATGGAGCATTCACTGTTTCTAGAATTACGGCTGATCCAATATTAGTGCAAAGATTTGGTGTTTTAGAAAAAGCTGCACCGGTAAATGTTAATTTATTTAAATTATGTTTTAAAATTAATAGATATATTATTTTATCTATGTATAGGGAATTAATTTATTTTACTTATTCAACAGGAATGTGATTATCAGCAAGGTAAACTAAACAGTCCACATAAGCCAAGAGTTGAACCAGTGAATGATTCATGTGATAGAGAACCAAAGAGAAAGGTGTCTGAGGAATATTCAAACTGTGATGAAGACAACAAAGGAAAGAAGAAAATAAAGATCGAAGAAATTTAAAAGCATATAACTTATTTCACCATTTCACAAACACTCAATCAAAAAATGCATGATCATTTTGATGCAGCATAATAGAAAGACAAAATCTTGGCATCCACAAAACAAACAAGTTCCAGTTCAGCACAAAAGGAGAAACACAGGAGGAAATGGAAAAACAAAAGCAAAAAAAAAAAAAGTTAAAATGACAAACACAAACAGACAGTTATATAAAATATATACTCAGTACGAATAAAACTTATACTCAGTCCATAGAAAATCATATACTCGGTCAAAAGAAAAACATAGACCAATTTCAGAAAAATACTCTAAAATGTCACTGCAGTATTAACATACTCAGTTTGTATCATTTACCAAACCTCATTAATTCTTCATTAAAAATCTCTAAACCTAATCATTCAATCATATAAAACTCTTTGGTTTTATCATACTCGGTTTTAACATAATCGATCATTCAGTCATTCAATCATATACCAACAGTATCACATAAAACTCTTTGGTTTTATCTTACTCAGTTTTAACATAATCATGAAATCATTCAAATAAATATACAGTCAGTATTAACATACTCAGTTTTGTTCATAAGAACAAAACTCTTCATATAACATTCATAAAATCGGACAGTAAAGATAAATTGATCAATTTAAGTCAAAATCTGTAAATGCATTAATTTTTTTTAAGTCATTAGATCTATATAATTAACAAAATAGAAACTAACTAATGACATTAATAACACAAAATCAATACATTACATACATTGAAGTCAAAATCCATTAAATTGATTTTTCATTTAAGTCATTAAATCTATATAATTAGCAAAATAGCAAATAATTAATGACATTAATAACACAAAATTAATTTGGCATAAATCATGCTATAAAACTGATCATTTGTTGACTCACATTAACTAAAAATCAATTAATCCGGTTGTAGAATATGTTCATTAGGAAAAAAATATATCATATCAATCAACAATTAATACATTAACTTATAAAAAATCATTTAATCTGGTTTTAGAGTTACTAAATTTTTCTATATAAACCCCTTAATCACTAATTCATTCTTAGTTCCCCTAAACATACATCCTATTGTCCTTCACTTTACTATTGTGAACCCCCAACGATTTGGTTGCTCGCCTTCAAATACGAATGATCGATGTGCGCCAAAGACTGAACTATGTGAACCCTCAACGCATCGCAACTCATAACCCCTTTTATTATTTTTTTCAGTTGCAGCCACCTAGCAGCAGTGGCTCTTGGGCGCTCAAGTACCAACAACCAGGGGCGAAACCATGTGGGGGGTCGGAGAGGCGCCGACCTTTCCAAAAAAATAAAAAATAAACTAGGGGTGGAGGATTTTGCTGGAACTGAAGATTTTCCTTTGAGCGCGCATGTTGGGCCCTCCCCGGTTTCATGCGGTACATAGCTGGCCTGAGGGGCGCCAACGATTTTGTCGTGAAATTTTTTTTTAAAGGCAAATTGGGCCCTCCCCAAAACGGGATCCTGGTTTCGGGACAAGGAGAACTATAATAGCAGCAGAATTTAATAATTTTTTCATTTTTATTATATTTTGAGTTGGTTAATTAGCCGACTTGCAGTGTACCGACGGGACTCAAAAACCGAGTCAATCATTACCGAAAAATACTTTTATGAAAGTACAGGAAACAGAGTGTGCGTTGGTGGCATCGATTTATGATTTTGAGGTCCCGACCATTTATTTTAGGTAGCCCGAAGTTGAGAGAAAGATGGCAGTGGCGGTGATTTTATTGTCATTTTCATGTGTAGACTTCTGGTAACCGTCGGCCCTCGTTAGGCGTGCCTAATTTTAGCGGGAGTGCTTTCTTGGAAGCACGAGAACAGTAGAAGCCGTTCGAAAAATTTATTTCACGTTTCAAAGTTTCGAGCATTTATTTTGAGAAGCTCGAAGTCGAGTGCGCATAATAGAAGAATAAAAAGTCGTTTTGTGGGGTTCCGTAAGGTTGCGTGTGACCTCAGTTTAACGAGAATCGAGTTGGAGTGTGTAGACAATTCAAGCACGATTCCATACGGACAAATTTCGCATTTTTCAGAGTTTCGAGCATTTATTATGGGAGTTTGAAATTTCTGCGTTAAATAGTATCAAAATGAGCAAATTTGTCGAGGACGAGTTCGATCGTTCGAGGCTTCGTTTTCTCAAAATTTTTCAGCTTTTCGTCTATTCCAAAGGAGGTATAATTCTTGATTATTATTATAATAGAGTCCGAGATTCTTATTAGTATAAATTCGAGTATTTTTCGAGTTAAAACAATTCAGTTTAAGTATACCAGTTTAATTCCGGACTTAGTTTGATTTTTAGAAAAATCTCTAGAGTATTCCTTTATATCATGCGAAATTTTTTGAGATCGTCCACAAAAGCCCTTTGAGCGTCCTTCCAATGCCGAAGTGGGGGTGGCGCGCCGCGGGATGGCCGGAGTGGGGGTGGTGCGCCGCGGCAAATTGGGCCCTCCCCGGGATGACCGGCTGGTTTCGCCACTGCCAACAACCAGCCATAGTGGCACCGACCGCCGGCAATGGCGTGGAGGGTCGGGCAGCGCACGACAGGAGACCGACGATGGTTTCGAACGTAGGTAGATCTTTAATTATGAGCATACATATCCAAAGATTTCCAAAACCTTAATTTGATGTGTCTGAACAGATAAAACAAATTCAATTTGAATTTACAATTTTAGTTTTAAAATTATAATCGAAACAATTTTAACTATAAAATTAAACCAAAACATAAAATAACACATTATTATAGTCAATGATATATAGATCTATATCCACTATTGAAAATTTGACGTACGAACTCAATGCTCGCACAATGGATTAAAATCTTCTTCCTAACAACGAACATCTAACTACAACTATTTGATTTGATATGATCCTCTGTCACATGAATAATAAAACTAAACATTGATATTCGAATACTCTGTTCTCAATTGCGGTTTCAACTCCAATGAATCCGATCTGAACCTCAAATTTAAAAAGTCGAAGAGTGTTTGTGTCTCAATATTGATCTCTTAATATAGAATAAAATATTTTGTCAATTTCCTTTTCAGCAATTATTATTATTAATATTATTCAGATTGCATGTTCCTCGTGTCCACGTTAAATAATTGTTAATTATAATTTTGTTTGTATTCCACCTAAATCCCATCTCCACAATATATTTTGATATTTTCACTCGACTCGACGAGCTATATACATATTAGGGTCCTCTGTATCTATTCTCACTTCAATTCATACACTATGAAAATGCCGTCGTTGAACTGTAAGACCGTGATGAATTTGTTGCCGGCGGCGCCCTCTTGTTCGTTTTCTACTTCTTCTTCTTCGTCTTATTCTTCTTTCCCACTGAAATCGATTAATTTCAAGTTGGCGTCAATCTTCGCATCTGCCGGCGCAGCCAGAAGGGTCGTCAGCGCGTCGTCCTCTTATTCGTCCGCCGCAGCTCCTCCGTTGACCATGGGCGATGTCACAGCTGATTCAGCCATGGACGCCGTACAGAGACGCCTGATGTTTGAGGACGAGTTTGTTCTTTTCCCTTTTCTTCTTTATGCAATTTTACTGGTTTCCCTTATCTGCAGCATTTTTAGGTCGTGAATTTCGGTGGGTTTCTTTCAATTATGAAATAAGTGATGATTGTGGGATTTGGGGTACCCTATTTTTCGTTGTAATATCTTGCCCTTCTATGAAAGAGAGATATTTGAAATTATCTGATACTATTATTTATGCAGAGATTTTAGATTGTTTCTAATGTGTCGTGTGCAGGCCTTTTAATCTTCGCTTTTCATAACATTTTCCATTGCGTGTTTTAGAGATTTCGTCTGAAGTGAGAGCTTTTGATTTATTCGAGTTTACTGGTAAAAGATTGTTAAAAGTCCTACATCTTCTGCAGATGTATATTGGTTGATGAGAATGATTGCGTTGTTGGCCATGATACCAAATACAATTGTAAGTAGGACCTTTCTTCTCCTAACAAGGTCAGGTTTTTGTTTGGTCAGTCTGCCATGATAGCGGTTTTAGATTTCGAGATTTGTTTATCGTTCTGTTATCTCAGAGCTGCAAGTTTACTTTGGATTACTCTGCTTATTGTGAAGCGCGAGTCTTTTAGCATATTTTAGTGTTTTCACTGTCTTATTACATCCTGCTGCTCGAGTAATATATTCTGAATTTTCGCACAACATTCTTGTATCAACAATCTTTATACATGCAGGCCACTTGATGGAGAAAATCGAGTCAGAAAATTTGCTGCACAGAGCTTTCAGTGTGTTTCTGTTTAACTCAAAACACGAGTTATTGCTTCAGGTGTGTGCTACTCGATTATAATTTTATCATGTTCTTGCTGCAAATTGATTTCAGAAAGCTTATGCTATCTATGCACCACCTATTTAGCAATATAGAATGATGATTAGGGACCGATGGGCCAAGTTTTTTTTATTGTACAGCATTTGTGGTTGAAGAATATCAGGACCAAAAAGAATAATTTTGCGTTTGTGCAACAAAAAGAATACCATAATGTCTCGGGAGGGGTTTTCTTGTTCCTTTTCGAATTCCTCTGATCACTAAATCGTTTGTAAAAGTCCTGCTTATACTCGCAAATTGCAATTACCATGCATTGTTTTTCCGTTTATATATATGTCGCATGTGCAGCAAAGGTCTGCAACAAAGGTGACATTTCCTATGGTGTGGACAAACACATGCTGCAGTCATCCCCTATACCGAGAGTCTGAGCTTATTGAAGAAAATGCTCTCGGTACACTGAACTTTATTTATCCAACAATATTTTATTACAATCTATTAGTATTGCTTTGCCCATGAGGCCAATATGTTAATTAAGTGCCGAAGTTTTCAATACTGAAGGGGTGAAAAATGCTGCACAAAGGAAGCTGTTGGATGAACTGGGTATCCCTTCAGAAGATATTCCAGTTGATCAGTTCATTCCATTAGGTCGTATGCTGTACAAAGCGCCTTCTGATGGGAAGTGGGGAGAATATGAATGTAATATTCTCTCTTTCTTTGCAACATGTTTATGTTTTTGTACCACAGTATTCACATGTTAGGGTGTTTAAACATCAAGGCTCGGTAAGATTCTTTAATATCTTAAGAATAAAAAGGAACTTGGATACAAATCTTGCTTATTAATTTGTAAGTTAGGTGCATTCTGGCCTTGTGGCTTGATTCTGATAGAACCTTTTGTCTTCTCTATATGCAGTGGACTATCTTCTGTTTGTCACACGTGATGTTAGCGTTCAACCAAACCCAGATGAAGTGGCCGATATCAAATATGTGAATCGTGAACAACTGAAAGAGATTCTAAGGAAAGCAGATGCTGGCGATGAAGGCGTGAAGCTATCCCCGTGGTTCAGATTAGTTGTCGATAATTTCCTCTTCAAGTGGTGGGATCATGTTGAGAAAGGGACTCTACAGGAAGCAGCCGACATGAAAACGATTCACAGGCTTTAGTTATGCAGCAGGCCTCCGGAATGACTTGTCCCGATTGTGCTGAAAGTTATGCAGCAGGCCACTGGAATGTCTTGTCCCGATTGTGCTGAAAATGGGTTCGTCAGATTAATAGGCTTGTCGGTGGTAGGTTATATTTGGAAATATTTGGATCCTAAGCCATGCAATAATGTGTTGTGGTGTATAATAAAAAGCCTACTTTGACTCGTTACAACTGTTTGGCACTATTAGGGTTGCAAACGAACCGAGCCGCTCTCGAGCGTTCGAGTCAAAGCTTGACTCAAACTCGAGTTTGACCGAACTCGAGCCGAGCCCGAATGGCTTGAACATGTTGTCAAATCGATCTCGAGCATAAGTTTTGCAAAGTCCAACGACTCGAGATATATAGTAATTACTAAAATACTCCATTTATATATAATATTACAATTTTTTATGTGTATTTAATAGCAATTTACTTAAACTTCGAGCCCAACTTGAGCTGAGTTCGAGCAATCTGTTGAGCATTTCGACTCAATCGATCTCGAGCAATTGTTTTTTTGTTGAGTCGATCTCGAGCGTCATAAATTGAGCTCGATCAGGAAAAAAAAAAAATCAATTGCTCGAGCCCTAGGCACAATCACGTTTCTCCACAAATCGGCATCTGTCAAACGAATATTTCTCACAGAACTAAACACACCTGTATAACATTCAGTACATGATTACCATGTTTCATTCTACCAGTACAAAAAAAAAAAACACTAGCATAGTTTTCATCTCAAATCCCACTTCAAGAACTGATATCACTATTCCCTTGTGTGTCGATAATATCACTTGTAGAAACACACAGACTCTGAAGAGTCCCCGCTGCCTTCTTCAAAATCCATCCCATGAGAAGCCGAAATACTCGTGGCTGGTGCATGAAGAACATTAATGGCAGCCTTCCTTTTACTCCTACTGTGTTGTTGCCATGTATTCACAGACGCCCTCTTGTCGGAAGATATTAAATCTCGAGTAGTCACCACCATGACCGGAAAGATGAGGGGCTTGAGGAAAGACACGAGAACCATAACGAGCAATATTACGAACACGTACATAGTTGTCCACACGCAGAAAGTCAACTTCCACCTGTGAACAAATTCTTTGGCCCATGGCGGCTGGGATCTCACGAGAACCTCCGCATCGTAAAACTGAGGAAGGGATTCGGTCCCTGCTCGGGGGATCATCGTAATCCGGATGTATTCTGTCCGGGGATGGCTGCTGCTTTCTTTATGTTTTAGAATTGGGAAGGTGATGGTTTGAGTTTCAGTCGTGATGCCGAGTATAAGCGGTAAACCCATCAGAAATGTTCTTGTGAGCCTGATGGGCCAGCTTCTGAACCGTAACATGCACGGATGACTAGATTTTGCGATTATATCACCTTGTGCCGATACCAACTCCGCACTCAGCTGATTTTGTCAAACATATTGGTAGAAAATGGATTATACTCAGCCGACTTAAATCAGAATAGATGAGAAATAAGGAAAAAAAAGGAAAATTTGAAAAATATTCAAATTAATCATTAATTATGGGGAAAATGCTACGGTACCGTTACGGAACCATTCTGTCGGGTTTTGTAACCCGTTAGACCAACTATCTCCGACGATTACATGATGATCCAACGACTACAAGCCCCGACGAAATAGTTACGTAACGGGATGAGTCCAATCAATAATAATTACCTGAAATATACCGAGGTCTCTGTTATAATCAGACTCGGGCATCAAGAGAAGCAAGGACACATGATAGGTGTGGCCCACTGGGGCCGCCGGACCAAGCCGAACCACGGCCACCGGGTGTGCCTCCGAGTAATCAAACTGCAGGCCCGCCCTCGTGTAAATAGGCCCCTCGGCCCACGCTCTCACGAGCCCCACTCCTAAAACCACCGCCACAGCCAAAGCTGACATCAACACCACGCAGACGTACGCTGCCGCCATCAGCCCCGCCGCTATCCTCCCCAGCAGGCGGCTGCCGTCCCGTTTTGGGTAATCGTTGCCGGCCGGCCGGCGGAAGAAGAAAGAGAAGATAGAAAAGAAGGGCGAGGCGAGGCTGAGTAGGCACGTGGAGAATATCTGGGCTTGGAGAGTGAGGAGGTTTGTGAAGAATAGGAAGGGGCTGGGAAGGAAATTGGGGATATCATTTAGGACCTCATTTTCGGACGACGCCATTAACAAGCGAGTTATTAAGATAGTAATTATTCTGTGCGAGTGTGTTGAGAGAAATAACTCTTGAGAAATGAGGATGTATATATGGTCACAAATGTAATGAAATGAAAGGTAAAGCAGTGTGTGGATTGAAGAGGTAAAGGACATGCAAAACCATGAGCTGACACGTGTGATACTATTGGTTGGACACTCCACAAAATATATGTTTGTGGACATTTTTAGCCCTCACCGATTATTGATTTCCTGCACCACCATCGGGTGATGCTACTACTATCGTGCGTCCTGGCACACTTAGCTGCCTTGGCACACCTTACTTAGTGTACGAGGGACACCTAAGTATTTGTGCCTATCACCTTGTTTATTTGTATGTTTGTTTTAATTACAACCGAACTTATGAATTGAGTGAAGAATTTAGTTCGTACAGTATGAACTAAACAAGAAATATAAAATACAATTCGAATGCAGATAGATTAAAGTCGAGGCGATTGAAATTTTTCTGCAAAACAAATGTGTCTCGTTACTCTCGTATTATGCTGACGGATCTGTGCGTAATGTTTTCAAAGAACAAAGGCCCAGGGCCCCCTAGTTTTTTCTAAAAGATCAATATATATATAAATACAAAAAAAAATCAATATATATATAAAGAAAATACTACTATATAATATGTAAAAAATGTAAAAAAATATATACAATATATTACTAATTAAAACATATTCCTATGCTATTTTTATTTAAACGAATAATATTATTTATTTATTGAAAAATATACTAACAAGCGTTATATTTTAATTTTTTAGATAAGTTTTTACAAATATTTATAATGATTTACTCTTTGAGTCTCTTAATTGTAAATCGATTTAATGAATTATAAAACCGAGTTTTTTTTAATTGGATGGTTACGTTTTTTAATGTTGATTTTTTACTCTTTTTTTTTTTGTGTAATCACACATTTTTAACTTTATTTATTTTTTTTCTTAAAAAGTTGTTCATTTGATAAGCTTGCATCAACAAAAATGATATACATGAAATCTCATTTTTATTTATTTATTTATTTTGTTTATTTTTTAAGGTTTGAGGGCGGTACGGATTATAATTTTATAAAAACTTGATGGTACACATATCAATATTTATATTTATAGTAAATACATTTTTATATGAAATAAGTGTTTCGACTTAAACTTCAAGCTCGTTATTTAACATTTAAAATCGGGTCCCCTGAGTGAAATTTTTGTGTCACTGACAACGGCTATACACTCGGAAGCTGTAGCACACTAGTTTTCAGAGTTCCTTATCCTTTAAAAAAATTGTTAATAATTCAATTTTTAGTTGTATATTAATTTTTTTAACATTCTCTTATAAGAATTTAAATTTATTTACTTCTTTTTTTGATACATATAAATTTTTGTGTACATGTTCACGAATGATATATTAATTCACGAGTACATAATTATTCTATATAAATTCAATAAAAATAAATATGTTTTAAATAGAACAAATAAAATTTCATACAAAATAATATTTAGAATTTGAAATTATTTCTTATTAATTATTTATATAATTTTTTTTTACACTGTGAATATAAAGCTTATTTCTTTTTCATTTTTTCTGCGCGGCGTTCCGACAAGTTTTTGTCGAGGTGGATAGCCAATGCGTAGCAACTATGAACCTTGGGTCTGGAGGTATGTATGGAATTCATGATGCACTTGTTGAGGTCATTCGTAACTTGGTCCACAAAGATTGGCACGTCAGGATCCAACACGTGCATATGGAAGCAAATTTTGCTGCTTACTATATGGCGAACTTGGTGTTTTCCTACCCTTTGGGTCTTCAACGTGTTCCTTTGCTCCCACGGGCTTGGGTGCATGGCTCGACGGGGTGTCTCATCCCGACGAGTTATGGCTTAATTATCATTTAGGTCTTTGGCCTCCCTTTTTGTACAAAAAAAAAAAAACCCGAATTATAAGAAAGCGGTATTCGATATAAAAAGGAGGCCACTGAGATTAGAGAATAAGCAGACAGATGCAGATCTGAGGATTGAATTATTCATTGCAAATTGGGGGATATACAGAATTTCATCAAACGGATACCCACAGTCGCTTCATCACCAATCTCGACTCCATTATATTGGTAACGTAATTTCCCTTTTGTTTCTTCATTTGATTTTCTCTGGGTTTGAAACCCTTTGGAATTGGTCGATATATTCGCTGTAGATCTTTTGAATTGGTCGATATATTCGAATTAATCGTTGTATGCAGTGGATGTTTGCAATGCTTGCCTGTGCTGGTATTCTGTAAAGTTGGCTATGGATCCCCATGTTGTGTTGAGGTTTTCACTGATCAGGCTTTGTTAATTTAATAATATTTTGATTCTGTGCATGATAACACTCTTAATCTGAGCGATTTCGCTTTGGAATTGGCATAATTTTCCGAATCTTGGTACTGTTGCTCGAACAGAATTGCCTCTGTGATTAGTTTGAGTCCACTTCTGACTTGTGGAAATTGATTGTTTTTTCTTTTCTACGAAATGTCGGTCTATCTGAATCTTGCTGTCGTTATGAAACTGCATTATGTTGACTCCTATGGCTGAATAAGTAATGGGGCAGAGAAATATAATTTCAGGAAAATCGTGCACCTTAGCATCGTATTACAAGATCCTCATCTTTGTTTTATCAATTAATGATGTCAAATGCCACCAGGTAACAAGTGGGAAATGGAGAAATCATGTTCCTTGCTGGTACATTTTGACAAGGGGACACCGGCCCTTGCAAATGAGATCAAGGAAGCCCTTGAAGGGAATGATGTTGAAGCTAAGATTGATGCCATGAAAAATGCTATAATGCTTTTGCTAAATGGTGCAACCCTGCCTCAGCTCTTCATTACTATTGTGAGATATGTGTTGCCCTCTGAAGATCATACTGTTCAAAAGTTGTTGCTGCTCTATCTGGAGATCATTGATAAGACTGATGGTAAAGGACGTGTCTTACCCGAGATGATATTAATCTGCCAGAACCTGCGGAATAATCTTCAGCACCCTAATGAATATATCCGTGGTGCAACACTAAGGTTCCTCTGCCGGCTCAATGAGGTGGAGATCATTGAACCTTTGATCCCATCCATTATGTCAAACTTGGAGCATCGACACCCTTATGTTAGGAGAAATGCAATTCTTGCTGTTATGTCCATTTACAAGCTCCCACAAGGCGAACATCTCTTGGTTGATGCACCAGAGACGGTTGAGAAGTTTCTATCAACGGAGCAGGACCCATCGGCTAAGAGGAATGCATTCTTGATGCTTTTTAATTGCGCTCAGGACCGTGCTATTAGTTACCTCTTGACCAATGTTGACAGAGTATCAGACTGGGGT